AGAAGAGCACGAGAGGTGGAGACGAGAGAGAGAGAGAGAGAGAGAGAGAGAGAGAGAGAGAGAGAGAGAGAATAGAAGAGAGAGAGTAGGAGAGAGAGAGAGAGAAGAAGAGAGAAGAGAGGAGAGAGAGAGAGAGTGAGGAAGAGAGACGTAGGAGAGAGAGAGAGAGAGAGAGAGAGAAAGACGAGAGAGAGAGAGATGAGAGAGAGAGAAGAGAGAGAGAGAGCGAGAGAGAGAGAGAGAGAGAGAGAGAGAGAGAGAGAGAGAGAGAGAGAGAAATAAAGAGTTAATCATAACACGTATAATTATCATCCAATTATCTTGCACGTCCGTCAGACAACGTGACCGTCACGTCGGACCAGCCAGACCCGGTCTTATCTAACAAGTATATAACATATATTTATGCTAATTATTATTTAATAATAATCTAATCATCTCACACGTCCGTTGCATGGCGTGACCGTCGCACGACGTCACCGGCCCGCTGCGCCACTCACCCCCATCTGATTACGGAACTTGATGGAGAAGGTGGAGTTCTTCACGTCCCCGTCGAGCGCGATCACTCTGCTGTTGCCCTTGCCCAGCTTCACCAGGCCTATGCCGTACGCCTCCCTCGTCGCAACCTGCACAAACAATGCTGAATGTAAGCTATTACATATATATATATATATATACACATATATATATATATATACATATATATAATAAATTATTATATGCCTTGCCCAGTGCATTTACTACTCAACAATAGCGAAACCGCACAGAATGTACGCATGGCCATGCCTCGGCTAATGTTTTTATTTCTTGACAAAGGCAAAGCCGCAGAGAATGTACCTATGGCTATGCCTCACCTAGTGTTTTTACTTCTTGACAAAGGCAAAGCCGCAGAGAATGTACCTACGGCTATGGCTCGCCTAGTGCTCTTACTTGTCGATAATGGCAAGCTACGGCAGAGAATGTATCTGTGGCTATGCTTCACTTATCTCTCTCACTTTTTGACATTTTGACCTCGAATTAACGCGAGAAGTTTGCAGAGACGACGCGCTTAGCAAATGATAAAGTGCGGGTACCGACGGCACTACACATGAATCACGGAATCATTTTATACGAGGTGAGGTGTACATAATTATACACACGTCCGTGCACATATCCGTATATGCGAACGGCATCACGGTCAGTGACAGCCGTTCTTTAACTAAAACATCACACGCGCAGGTGCCCCCCCCTCACGCCACGCGTGCCGCGAACAATCTACAGCGACGGCGGCGCCCCCTACCCACCAGCTGTCCGAGTTCGTAGTTGGGCGGCTGCGAGAGCATGATCTTGGCGTCGGGGTCGATCGGTGCGGCGTCGTCGACGGGCGGAGGCTGCGGAACAATGGCGTTGGCGCCCTTGTTGACGATGCGCGCCTCGATGGCGGCGATGGCTTCGTCCGTCTTGTTGCCGAGGGGCTTGCCATGCCAGTCCTCCTCATTCTCCACGCCTGCAGCAGCAGTGGAAACGATGGGAGCCGGTGGTTAGGGGACAGTGCGACGGGGGAGAGATAGCAGTACTACTGCTGCCCGCCCCAACATGTACATCTACATCGTACACTGTAGTACGAGTACCCTGCAGCAGCAGCAGGGAACAATGTAGCCGGTGGCTAGGGTAACACTGCGACGGGGGAGAGATAGCAGTACTATCTACATATCTAGTGATATCTACATCTACATCGTACACTGTAGTGCGAGTACCCTGCAGCAACAACGGCAGCAACGGCGAGGGTAATGACAGAGAGGCAGCGGTTAGTGGAACTGTGACGTGTGCACAGGGAAGGGGGGGGGGTACTCCTAGTACTACTGTTGCCTGCCCTGTAGCATGTACATCTACACTGTGCTGCTGCTGTTGATGGTGCTGCTGCTGCGGCTACTGCTACTGCTACCACTACTATTACTACTGCCTACTCCCCCCCCCACACAGTTCTTGCACTCAGTTCTGCACCAGTAACACTGGAGGAGATACAGCTAGTACTACCACTACGACTACTACTACTACTAATACCATTACCACTACCACTATTGCTACTACATATACTGCCTGCTCTCCCCCAGTTCTGCACCCCTACCAGTAACACTAGAGATACAACTACAACTACCACCACTACCACTACCACTACCACTACCACTACCACTACTACTAATACCATTACCACTATTGCTACTACATATACTACCTGCTCTCCCCCAGTTCTGCACCCCTACCAGTAACACTAGAGATACAACTACAACTACCACCACTACCACTACCACTACCA